CTGAGCAGGAAATGAGTTTGTTTCCCACAGTTTTGTAGCCCTTTAGCTAACAGACCCTGACTCAGAATAAGCTCTAGTAGTTCTTTGTATGTTATCTATGTTTGGTCCTCACTGCCTGACAATGATTAATGAGCTTCACCTGTGTTCCTGTGCAAATGACCCCAATAAAAACCCATTGAGGAAAAGGCTCTTGGCCCTTCTCCTTTGAGAGATCGGCCACCTTTCCTCCCCCAGCAGATCAGGTCTTGGTAGACGGATTCTAATCCGTGATGGCTGCGGGGGGAGGGGGAGGCCTGTGGGCAGAGCCCCCCAAAGAAATTATGCAAGAAAGAGGGGGCATCCAAATGTGAATGAAAAGAAAGTGTCTGTTTGTAGAATACCTGATCTTACATGTAAAGACCTTTAAGAATCCACGATGCACACGTATGACTGTTAGAGCTTGTGAGTTCAGCAAAATTGCAGGGTGCACATTCACAAATCAGCTTCTCTACACTCTATAAGTGAGTAATCGGAAAAGGAAATTAAGAGAAAATTCCCTTTTCAATTATGAAGTTCCAATTCCATTATTCTTGAAAAAGAATAATAAACTTAGGAATAAAGTCAACCCAGAAGGTGCAAAATGTGTGCACTGACGCGTGGTTGAGAGAAACATCGCCGCAGAACACCTCGGAGAGAAACAGACCTAAATACATACAAGGTGCCCCATGTGTGTGAGTTCGGAGACACTACTGTTAGAAGGACAGCACGGAGAGTCAACGCAACCCCCACGGAGCCCCAGTGGCCATGTTACAGAAATGGAAAACTCACCGTCCACTTGGAAGGGGTCGCAGGGACCCAGGATAGCTGAAGCAATCTTGAAAAAGAGCCAAGTCGGAAGATGCACGTCCTGATTTTGAAACTTCTTGCAGAGGTGCAGGAATCCAACTAGCGTGGTGGCAGCCTGTGGATGGGCCTCAGGCCAGGGGGACGAGGGTGCGGTCCAGGGTCACACCCTCCCCTCTGCGGCCAGATGACTTCTGATGAGGTTTTACGACACTCCGTGGAGAGAGAGAGGTCTCTCCAGCAAAAGGTGCCCGGAGACCTGGACCCTCACAAGTATAAGAATGAAGCTGGGTCTTTAAACCATACGCAAAAATGGACGCAAAATGGATCAGAGGCCTGGATTTAAGAGTTAAACCTATAAAATTCTTAGGAGAAAACAGGCAAATACTCTTGACCTTGGATACAGCAATGTTTTCTTAAACAGGACACCTAAAGTAGGCAAAAAGGGAAAGTTAAATTCGACTTCATTACCGTGAAACACTTGGGCAGCCACGGACCCTGTCAAGACAGGGAGGGACAAGACAGCCCACAGGAGACGGTATTTGCAACCTCACTCTCTCTGATAAGGGACGCGTAACTGTAACACCTAAAGTGCCTCTAAAGGTCAACAAGAACGAAACAATCACACCTCAATTCAAAACTTGGCAAAGGACTGAAAAAGATCCTCCTCCAAAGAAGATACACAAAGGGCCGGCGGGCGCAGGTAGGGACCGCGGCATCAGTAGTCACGAGTGACATGCAAAGCAGGACCACGAAAAGCCACCGCCTCACACACAGGAGGAGGGCTGGAACCAGAGGCACAGAGGGTCAGCCTCGGCAGGGATGCCCGGGGTGCACTGGCAGCAGAAGAAGAAAATAGTGAGGGTGCTCTGGAGGACAGTTCGGTGTTCGCCCGCGAAGGTACATATAGCGCTACCGTATGACCCAGTAAATCCCCCTCGGGGTGTATCCTCCAAAGAACCGAAAGCGGGAACGCGAGCGGATACTTTCACCCACTGCCCGGGGCAGCGGCGTGGTTCACGACAGCCAAAGGGAGCCGGCGGCCCGAGGGCGTGGGGGGGGGGTGGGTGGACAAACAGGATGTGCCGCCGTGTAGGGTCTGGGACGGAATATCCAGCTCTAAAGGAGGATGAGATTGTGGCACACACAACCTGGGGAACCTCGGTAACACGGTGCTGAGCACAGTAGGCGGGACAGACGCGACGCAGGGCGCGGCGGGAGGAAGCCCCTGCAGTGTGGGTGGTGGGGCAGCGATGGCGCTGTGATAACTCGTAGTTTTCATTCGAACGTGTCCCCTGAACTGTCACGCGGTGTGCTCGAGTGTGACAGTGTCATGTTGCAGAATGACATGCTTATGATTCTGTAGTGAGTGAGTAATTAAAAATGGGGGCGTTATGTGTGCCGGACGCTGTAGCCCAAACAGTGTACGATCCCACTGGTGGGAGACACCCAGAGTGGGCAGACCCACAGACACGGGCAGCAGCGTGGAGGTTGCTCGGGGCTGTGGGGGAGAGGAGAGGGTGGCCGTGTTTCCCGGGGACAGGGTTTCTGCTTGGGGTGACGAGGTGTTCCGGTCATGGAGAGTGGTGACGGCTGCACAAGGTTGTGAATGGAGCTAGTGTCCTTTGATTGTACACTTGGAAAGGCTGAAAATGGTAGATTTTGTATTATATATGTTTTATCACAGTTTTAGGTGGAAAAGGAATACATATAAAATTCCATATATAAAATTCAATACACGTACTCCATTTATATAAGTTTAGTCTTTATGCCTTTCTTCACTTCCATCTGGAATAATTTTTCTTTTGAACAAAGAAACTACTTTCTTTTTTTTTTTACTTTATTTATTTATTTTTAGAGAGGGGGGGAAGGGAAGGAGAGAGGGAGAGGAACATCAATGTGGTTTAGTTGTTTTATTTTTCAGTTCTAGTAGATTTTCTTTTTTAAGTTTGTCTTTAGAGAGGGGAAAGGAGGGAGAAAGAGAGCGAGAAACATGGATGTGTGAGAGACACATCAATTGGTTGCCTCTCCCACACTGGCTACTGGGGACCCAGCCCACAACCCAGGCCTGTGCCCTGACTGGGAATCGAAGCAGCGACCCTTTGGTTGGCAGGCCGGCACTCAGTCCACTGAGCCACACCAGCCAGGGCTCAAGTAAATTTTCTTTTTTCTTTATATTAAATACATGTTATTGATTATGCTATTACAGTTGTCCCCTTTTCCCATCTTTATTCCCCTCTGCCCCGCACACCCCCGCCCACCTGCATTCTCTGCCCCCCCTTAGTTCATGTCCACGGGTCGTACATGTAGGTTCTTTGGCTTCTACATTTCCTGTACTGTTCTTACCCTCCCCCTGTCTGTTTTCTACCTACCATTTGTGCTCCTTCTTCCCTGTGCCTTTTCCCCTTCTCTCCCCTTGCCACTCCCTGGTTAAGTAACTTTTCTTATAGATCTTAATTCTCCAGTGAAATTCTCCACACTTTCATCTCTATTTACACTTTTTCCCTATTTCTTGAACAGTCTTTGCCTACTAACTCCAAGTGTGACTCACCTATGAGTTTGTCTTTGTCATCTTTTTTTTTTTTTAATTTCCAGTCAAAAGGCCCTGTGCCTTGATATGCCTAGACATTCGTAATGAAAGGCGGAACTTGTGGGTAAAAAACTCGGAGCGGCCCCAGGCACTCCCTCCTGTGCTAGGCAGACAATGCCAGGGCTCCTCCCGCCGTCTCAGCAGGTGTCAGCTGTGCGGGGCTGCGTGAGGCCCGAGGGGTGGTTCCCTGCACGTTGAGGGGCCTGGGAAGGGCTTCCCACGGAGCCGCAGAGCGCCTCTCGCTGGCTAGCCCTGGCCTGTGACCTTGGCCGCCTCAGCCCCAGGAAACTGCTGGCACCTCCGCCCTGCTTTCCAGGATTTTCCCAGCCTGCCTCCCAGCTCCCCGCCCGCCCGCCGTGGGAGAGAATCTGGCAGTGACCCGAGGGAGACACCGTCGGGCTCGGTGACGGTGACGCAGACTCATCTTCCCGTCTCACTTGGGCTCCTGGCTCCACGTCGTCTCCATCTTTTTGTCTCCGGCCCCCAAAGACTGTGCCCCAAACCTCACTCCCCAGCCCCGGGCCCCGGGAAACACTCTGGGGACCGCAGCCCCTGCTTCCATCTCTCGTAGCTCTCAGCCTCCTGACGTGCGCTTTTCATAACCCACACGTGTGCAGCTTGTAGCTGTTCTGCTGAGGCCGGTGCCCACGTGGCCATCAAGACACCGCGCCGTCCCTCTCTTGGGCTGGGACGGCCTGACGGCTGCCGTGCCTGCCACTCACCCGTCCTCGCAGCTCAGTCCCAGGTGTCGGATGACCTCACCTGTCACCTGTTATTTCCCTCACAGCCTTCCCTTGCCCTATGCCAGCCGGGCCTGGTTCTTCCTTCAGTTCATTTTTTAAAAAATATTTTATTTATTTATTTTTAGAGAGGGGAGGGAGGGAGGGTGGGAGAGAGAGAGAGAGAGAGAGAGAGAGAGAGAGAGACATCAATGTGCGGTTGCTGGGGGTCATGGCCTGCAACCCAGGCATCTAGCCTGACTGGGAATCGAACCTGCGACACTTTGGTTCGCAGCCTGCACTCAATCCACTGAGCGACGCCAGCCATGGTCATTTTTTAAAATTTAATCTTCAACTGTATTTTTTCCATTATCACTCAGCCCTCTTATAGCCCCTCCCCTATCTGTTCTTTTGTTTTTAATTAAAAAAAAAATTTTTTTTTTCCTCTAACTCCTATTCGGAAGTTGTCCAACCTGCTCTCTTGAACTTCTCTCTTTTCTCTCCTGTTTTATGTCTTTTTGTTCTACCCTCTGGGTAATTCCCTTAACTTTGTTTTGCAACCCTTCTGTTGGGTTTCTTTTACAACTTCGGCTATATTTGATTTTATTTTTTATCCGCACCTGAGGACACATGTGTTGATGTCAGAGAGGGAGGGAGGGAGGGAGGGAGATGGAGCGGGAACAGAAACAGCCACGTGAGACAGAAGCACCGATCGGTTGCCCCTCGCGGGCGCCCCCGCTGGGGACAAACCTGCAGCCCAGCTGTGTGCCCCGACCGATAAAACCTCACTTTTACAGAACTACCCAACCTATGCCACCTTTTCCTGCCAGCCGGTTCCAAGAGCCCTCCAGGGTCACCAGGGCGCCCGAGTGGCCACCTCCAGACCGGGACCCTCTCAGGCCCAGGGCCGCACCCCCCTGGGACATTTGTGCTTCCCAGTGCGCACGGACTCAGGGCGCCTCGCCCTGCGGCCCCGCACTCTCCCCTGGGACGGCTACTTCTGCGTCAAGCTGCCTGGGCCCCAGGGCGCCTGGACACTGGGTCAGGCACCCTGGACGTGTCCGTGGCGGTGTTTCTGGATGAGGTTAACCTTCGCATCAGCAGACTTGGAGCAGCCGATGGTGCTCCTCCGTGTGGGTGGGCCTCGCCCCCATCAGTGGAAAGCCCCCTAGAACAAAGGGGCTCAGATAGAAAAGAGGGAGCTCCCATTGCCTCGGCGCCCCTGAGCCGGAGACGGACCCTTGTTTCTGTCCCCCACCTCTGGACTCACACTGGAACGTCAGCTGTCCCTGGGGCTCGAACCTGGCGGCCTCGGGCTGGACCCACGCCGCTGGCTCTCTGAGTCTCCAGCTTGCCATCGGCACGCATCGGGACTTGCCAGGCTCCGTCACTGTGGGGGCCGGCGCCTCACCATAACAACTCAGTCCCCATCACCACCGCTCCCTCCGTGTGCGTGTATCCCACTGGTTGTATTTCCCTGGAGAACACTGACCTCCCGCGTGTTAAAATCAACTTCGGGGAAGAAACAAATCTTAGATAGTACAATGGTTTGTAACCTCCAAAGTTCAACCGCACCAGACAAACTCTTATTTAGTACTTTTTTTCCATCTGAATTTCTCAGTGTTCCGTCGGGGGAGATAATGGAAAACAAAGGCTGAGAACCACTGCTTTCTGGCTTTGCCTCACCTGTCTCCCAGGGGCACTGTCCCCGACCCCTACCAGCCTGTCCCGAGTGTCCTGGCCACCAACTTTGCTTCTCTGACATCCGTTCTTGACACAACAGCCAGAGTTCTTTAAAAAAATATACGTCCCATTAAAAAAGCTGCTATCAGATATCATAAAACACGGAGGAACCTAAAAATATAGATCTATGCCCTGCCATGACACGCCCTGTTCAAAACCCTCCGCCTGGTGGGGGCCCGGCTTCTGCTGCTTCCCCTCGCTCCAGTGCTGGCGGCTTCTGCAGGGCCCTGGGACAGGCTGAGCTCTCCCCTGCTCCAGGTTCTCGCCTCACTAGGAGCCCTTGGCTTGCGAGTGACTGGCGCTGGCTCGGCTCACCTCCTCGGGGAGGCGTCCCCTGTCCCCAGGCCCCAGAGGGACTCTCAACTGTATCACACTTGGGCCACTTCTGCCTTGTAACCTGGGCTCTGCCGTTGATTATCTGGGTGACTTTGGGCAAATCCCTTAATGTGTGTGAACTTCAGTTTCTCATCCATAAAATGGGCCAGGGGTGCCCTTCTCGAGTGGGTGGGTGTGCCGGTCAGATGAAAGGATACAGCTGCAGGCAGGGTGGCTGGTGTATAGTGGCTTGACGAATTGCCATTTGTACGTCATTCATTCACCCAGCAAGTACTGGACTGGTGAGTGCCCAGCCCTTGCTTGGCAGGAGCTGGGGTTCACAGGTGCAGGAGGCGTGCCCTCCCCTCATCCCCTGAGACTTTTCTCTGGGGATACTGCTGAACACCCCGATCCCATGTCACGGTGCTATGACATCTTGGAGGCTGAGGGAGAAGGGACTGTCTGACCCCAGCCTGTGTGGGGTGGGGGACAGTCCGAGACATCATTCACCTGGGGGGCTGCTGAAGGAAGACTGCCGGGCAGGATACAGGTATTAGCTCGTTGTGGTTGTGGCAGGAAGGATGGGTCGGAGGGTACCAGGCTGTGGTTGCAGCTGGGCGAGGCCGAGGCCATGAGGCCCTCCGGCCCAGAGCTAACAGCTATAGGGCCCTGGAAAGGGTGCAGATGGAGGCCCTCCCACCAACATCCAGTGCCAAGCTCGGCTGCCTCTCTGGCCTGTGACTACCTCCGGACCCAAGGAAGGGAAAACGCGTCTCGGTGTTTGGATAAGTGGGGCCCTGTAGAGCGTAGGGCCCACGCAAGGCCCCACCCTGGTCTAAGGGCAGAGCTATGCCTGGGGCTTGTGGTGGTGGACGAGATCCAGGCAGAGGGCGCTGGAGGCCCGAGGGTCTGGCCGGGCTCGGTCTGCGCGGTGGGTGAATGCAAGGTTGAGGGACCCTGCAGGGTCGCCAGGCACCCGGTGCGCAGGGCGCGGCGGAGCGGGCTGCAGGCAGGGCCCAGCTCGGGAAGGGCGCCCGCGGTTCTAACCCAAAGGCGGCCTGCACGGCAGCCGCGCACGGTGGCCGAGGCCTCTCGGACCAGGAGCTCCGAGCTCGGCCGGGCGGAGCGCTTTCCTGGCGCCCTCTGGACCCACCAAGCCTGCGAGCACGGCCACTCTCGTCCCCAAGGAGTCACCTGCACTCGGGCTAGGGGCCGACCCAAGGTCACCGGGCCATTCTCGGCAGGACAGAGCCGAGGTTGCCAGCCTGCTGCATCCCGGGGACCCCGCCGGCCTGCAGCCCCGCGTCGACCAGGTGCAGGGCGTGGGAGAGTCTTGATGTCTGTCAGAAGGGCGGACCTCCTCTGCTTCAGTCCTGCAGTTCTCTCGTCGCTGAGGACCCGGCCCCGCGCGGTCCCGGCCCCTCCGCCCAACTACAACTCCCAGAAGGCCGCACGGCGCGGGCGGGGCCGAGGCTCTGAGCTCGGCGGTTACGTCACCCTCGGACCCAGCCCCCTGGTTCTTGCCTGTCGCAGCTTCCGCGCGCTGGGACGCGCACGGCCTGCCGGGAGTCGTGGTCCTTCTGCCGGGCGCCGCCGGCGACGGCGCTGGCGCAGGGACTCCAACTTCCGGCGTGCCTTGCTCGCCGGCGCACGTTAGCGGCGGGAAGGGGCGGGCAAGGTCGAGGGGCCGCGGCGCTCTGGAGGGCGGAGTAAGGCGGGAGGGGGAGGGCGCCCACACCCCTCCCCCTCCCCGCCGCTCCTTCCCCCTCCCCCGACGTAAACTGGGATCCCTTTCCCCTTGTGTCCGCCATATTGGACTCTAACTCTGGTCAGCGGCGGCGCCGGGCCCGGTGGACTCTCTATTCCTCCCGCCCCGCGGCCTCCCGACAGCTCCCGCCTGCCCGGCCCTCCCCGCCCGCCCGGAGTCGACTCCGCGCAGCGCCCCCCGCCCTCGGTCGGCCGGAGCGCTCCGCCGCCGCCTCAGGCTCCCCGCCCTCCCCGCCCGCCGCCCGCCGCCCGCCGCCCGCCGCCCGCCATGAGCCCGGCCGACGCCAAGCGCGGGGCCAAGCGCCGTAAGAATAAGCGGGGAGGCGGCGGCGGCTCGGGTGGGGGCCACGGCGGCGCGAGCGGCGGCAAGGCCGTCCCGGCGGCGGCGCTGCGCGGCCCTCAGGCCGCGGGCCTGGCGGCCGCGGGCGGCACAGCGGCAGCGGCCAACGGGCCCCTGGGCACGGGCGCGGGCGCCGCCGCCCCCGGAGGCTACTTCGAGGTAAGCGGCGGGGGCGGGGAGGGCGCGGGTAACGGGCGGCGGCGCGGGGCCGGGCGGCGGCTCGTGACAGCCTTCCCGAGAACCCGGCATCTTCCGGGCGAGGCGCCGCGGCTCTGCCCACCTGCGCGCGGCTGTCACGGCCCCGGGGGTGGTGCCATCTCGGCGCGCGCGGGGCTCGTCCTGGAGATGACTCGCGTGCGGTTCCAGAATAATTCGAGTCAGGTGACAAGCGGGTCTTTCCCTCTGCGGTCGGTGCCCGCGGGGCCGTGTCGCCGGGCCCACCTTCTCCCGGCGCCTGCGACGGTCGCTGCGCAGCGCCTGGGGAAGTCGTGCTCCCTGGAGTGGGCATTCGAAAGCCACCTGACAGCCCTCCCGAGGCCGCAGCCCGGGCCCTGGATCCCCCGGGTTTCGGAGCTTTCGGGGGTCGGTGGTGTCCTGACGGCCGATATTTAGGGTTGGAACTCAGGACTCGGGAAGTGACTTTGTTCTGTTCAGGAAGGCGCCCTGCGGGTGCACCTCCCCGCCGTGGACGCTGCCTCTTCCCTCGGCCACGGCGCTTAGGAAGGCACAGCTCCGCGCGGGCGCGCAGTGGGCTCCTGGAACACCGTGGATTTTTGTCCCGAATTGCGAGAACGGTTAAGTTCTTTAAACAGTATTTGCCACGAAGAAGCTTCATTGGGGCGTATTTGTGCGCCAAATGGTGAGACGGAAATTGGTTTATGAAAGATTCACGATTCCATGCAGGAGCCGCTGAAGTGCGAGAGGAGCAGAGACCGTGCGTGGGGCCCGGCTGTCTGGCCGTGACCCGGCCTCGCAGGCGGGCCGCGGCCGCCTACAGGCGTCCTCTGCAGTGTGGTCAGCGCAGCTGTTCCCCGCCGTTAGGTGACATCCTTGCATTGGTTTAGTGTCCTGGCCCAGACCCCTGGGCCTTCCACGTTCCCGAAGTTGCCCTTGTCCTGGACCCTGCAGAGCCAAAGAGGGTCGCTCCGGGATCAGGGATGAGGCTCCCGTTTGGCTCCTGTGTTGGGGTTGCTGCCGGGGGAGGGGAGGAGGGCTGCCGTGTGAACCCTTCGCAGCAGCGTGTGGCCAGACAGATGGTAGCCGCTCTTCTGCCGGCTCAGAGGAAGGCTGGCTGGTGGTGCAGCGGAGGTCCTCATGCTCGTCTTCCATGTTGTCGTTCCAGCTTCGAATGACTCCCTTCGCCGAAGCGGTCTGCCTGTCCCTGCAGGGGAGGCTTGTGACTCCCGGGGTTCCCGCTCCTCTTTAACACAGGTCACCGGGGCAGGTTGCCAAGCGGGCTGACAGTGGACGAACTGTCTCGATTCCCAGTGGGTCTCAGCCCCACCACCCTGTGTGCGCGGCCCAGCGCCGAGTCCCCTTGACTCGTGAGGACCTGGTCAGGTCCCAGGCCAGTCCCCTCAGGGCGGCTGCAGGGGCAGGGAAACGAGAGCCGTGGCCCAAGTGGGGAGACGTAGCAGAGCTTACAGAGTCCTGGGCCCGGAGAGAGCACCACACGCAAAGCTTGGGCACCCAGACCTGGTGGGCTCTGCGCCGTCGGGCAGGTGTCAGCCCCCGCCGCCGCGGTCCGAGTAACTCGGAGCCCCGCTCCTCTTGATCTCTAAGAGTCAGACACGCGGTGCCAGGGTGGGTGCCTGGGCAGCGCCCGGTGGCACCCAGTGCTGGGGCTTTAGCGGGGGCTCTGCTGCAGGGCGACACCGACCCAGCTCTCCCCGCCCGTGGGACAGGGACCAGCACAGGAGCGGGAAAGCACAGCCCGGCGCCTGGGACGAGGCGTGGGCCCGCAGCCCCGCCGGGCGGCCTGCTTGCACTGGTGGTCCGCTCGCACCGGCGGCGGAGGGCCGGCCCCCAAACGAAAGGCTGGTAGGCGAAGGGGGCCATGACTGTGTCTTCGTACTTTGCATTTCTATTTTAAGTGTAATTTTTATAACTCTCACGCTTACTGAGTGAGGGAAGAAGCTTGCAAACTGGAAGAGTTTGTGGACCCATCTTTGTAGGAAATCTGTGCGTGTGTGTCTGCCGGGGAAGTCGGTGGGGCACATGCACCGGGACGGTTGGTGGTGGGGGTTTTGAAGGCCTCCTCCTTTCCTTTCTGCACTCGGCTTTAACACCTGCACTTTAAGACTTTTCTACAGTGGACATTACTTAAGGAACAAAAAAGTGAAGGGTTCTTTTACAGCCTGGTGTTACCAACATTTTTTCTTTGTCAAGTAAAACTACTTTTGGTTATTTTTACCTTCTAACAGTTAAACATACAGATATCATATGTCAAAAGAAAATATTTAGACTATCAGAATTGTTTTCTGAACAGGTGTACAGAATTAAGTCATACATATATTATTTACAAAAGTCATAATTTATTGTGGAAATTGACTCATGTCACTGGTAGTTGAAATATCAAGTCACGTACAATGTACACTCAGGGAGGGCTCAAATAGGAATTCAGGGCTATTTTTGTAATGCTGTTAGAGATTGATGAGAGGGAGCCATTTGGGGTCGGGGTTGAAGCGCATTTTCAAATAGGAATATTCAAGTTTTGAAGTCAGGGAAACCTGTCGTGGTGTGGGGGGCACTTGTCATAACACAGGTCGCTTCCCACCGCTGAGGAGGTGGCGAGGAGACGGCGGCGACATTTAAAAGCCATCCGACAGCACGCCCTGTGGTTAGGTGGTGTGGCGGTGGGTCTTGGGCCACTTTGGGGAGCGCTGAAGGCCGGTCCTGCGGAGCAGACACCGCCGCTGTGGTCAGAGGAGGTTCTGCCCCCGCTCTCTGCAGTTCCCGTTTGCCCTGGTGGCTGGAGGGGAGCGGGTCGGAGAGCGGCCCAGAGCCTCCCGCGCTGCAGCCGAGGCCAGCAGCGTGGTGGTGTGCCTCCGCACCTCCGTGTAGCGTGTGTGCACCCGTGTCGCCGCTGTGTCAGGGTCAGCGGTCCCCCTTTCACAACCATCCTCACCCTCATCTTCATCCGTTCCACCTGGGGTCGGATTTCCTGGGAAAGTGCTCTGTGCCAGGTCTGCGTGCTGAGTGCTGCGCGGGGGGCGTGGCCCTGGAGCTGCTGAAACATCCGTCCTTCTCTCCGGGAGGCGGCTTTCCGTCGTGTGCATGCCCCACGGTGTGTCGGCCCGTCCCACAGTGTGTCGGCCCGTCCCACAGTGTGTCCATCCATCCCACAGTGTGTCGGCCCGTCCCACAGTGTGTCCATCCATCCCACAGTGTGTCGGCCCGTCCCACGGTGTGTGGGCCCGTCCCACGGTGTGTCGGCCCGTCCCACGGTGTGTCCGCCCGTCCCACAGTGTGTCGGCCCGTCCCACAGTGTGTCCATCCATCCCACAGTGTGTCGGCCCATCCCACGGTGTGTCGGCCCATCCCACGGTGTGTCGGCCCGTCCCACGGTGTGTCGGCCCGTCCCACGGTGTGTCCGCCCGTCCCACGGTGTGTCCGCCCATCCCACAGTGTGTCCGCCCATCCCGCAGTGTGTCCACCCGGTGCGGCGTCGACGGACACGACTCAAGCTGCTGCGCGCACTCCTGGGCGCGTCCTTTGTGGCCGGGAGGACTGAGGTCCAGAGGGGGCTGCCACGTGTACGTTTGGTTTGACTTTGTTTTGCCAGACAGATTTTCTGTACGCTTTTATTGTATGCTAATTTAAGC